ACACACCGCACAACAAGTGCATTACGTGCTGTGCGTCAATTCGCCACTGAACACACCGCCAGATGACGCCTGCCTGTTTCTTTGGCAAGCAAACACGCCGAGCAAAACTTGGGTCTTACCAACGCAACTATAACCCAGCACGGTGGCACGTGCTTGTGTTCTCACAAACCCGCATGTCCTTCAAAGAAGCGCCCACGATTTGGCCAACGCCAATGAATCAACGGGGCGATCGCGCCAACGGTGGCAATGATCGACTGGGACCACATGACCCACCGGTTCAAGACAATGCCACAAGCACTACAACCGCCGCATCCAGACCCACAACACTGCCCGATGTGCCAATGCCACAGGCTATGCCTGTGCCGCAGCGAAGACCAGTCATCCAGGATGTTCATCCAGGCGCGCCTGTTACTACCTCAACAACAACCAGCTTCCACGTTGGCGAGATAGTTAATTTCTTCGTCAACATAGTGGCGCTCAAGAAGTGCAAGCCCCGTCGCTTCCCAACTACCAGTTCAGCCTCTGGCCCGGAACAAGCCAAAGTCACTGCAGCAACGAAGGTGGGCGCCAGAACCAGTCGACCCGCTGCACAGCAGCTTTGCCACGCCAGAGAAGCATTCCTGTGGATAAGCACAAACTGTTGCATTGCCCTGAACCCACAACGGATCCGGCTCTTCCGCCAACTACGCGTACTGCGGGACCAGCGCGCGCCCCGAGATCAGCGGCTGCAACCTTCGCGGACGGCGTCTCCAACCCCAGCCCCGTCCACGGAAGCCCTATATGACTTCCCAGCCATCAATGGAACCCGCGACAAAGCGCCAGTTACTGAAAATCGACCAAGCCAGTCAAGGCACGTTCGCAGAAGGGGTCCCAGAAGGGACAGACCGCAGCTAAGATTATTTGGCGCCAACTGGATAGAACGCGGTGCTCAACCTTGCTTGTCTTCTCCCTAGGGTGCTTGTGTCCGCATTTGACCAGGGTACCGGCGCATTTTAACCCAACCCTTCAGCGTAGTTGTAATCAACATATTGGGAATGAGGCGCGGGGCTAAGTACAGACCCCTGTTCTGGACCACGAACCAGAACAGGGCCTTTCTTGCTGAATGGTTGGCTTACAACGCACGGCATGGTAAATGTGTTTTCACGTTAGAACATTACATATGAAGTTCACCATGTCTAGCATTCGTCGAGAAAGATCCCTATAGATGATTGCGAAGAAGAACCAAGGTTTACTCCAGATTACATGTCAGTAGACACCTTGACACAAAATTCCAGACTCAAGAAGTTCGTATCTGCTAGACCCGAAGGATGATGAGATGCGAGACTACCCACAAGAAGACAAAGGCGTCAAAACCACATCTTCATCCAAAGCCAGAACAACTGGGTGAGATGAGAAAGGCTCCGCAAGCAGAAGCCGGCAGAACGTGAGCAATGCTCCAAAGTCAGATTCTGAAGAAGAGGATGATCAAGATCCGTATAGTTCATCCCGATTACGGTTTCAGTTATGAACCAGCAGATCCAAAGGAACCTGAAGCAGCACCGCGCGAAGACAGACCTCCAGTTCCCTTTGGCAAGAACCGCCGCTTCTCTAGCCATGAAGACACCTACATGGGTTGCGTTACCGGGCGCTACAAGGAACACCTCTTCATTTAACAAGGAGCGCCCGAATTTCCGACAAACCTCAGACCCATCGAGATTGTGATTCGCCGGATGAATCAGTGCATGGCATCGAGTTCTTCAAGATTTGGAACCGCATTGGCGGTAGAACAGAACTGATCAAGGGCGACCCGAAGACGCTCCATTCTCCAACAACATGGCACACGCAGATTGTTCCAACAGCCTAAAACTTCTTTTTTGATAAGCGCGTCATAGTGTGACGGAACTTGGAGATCTACAAGGTTTCCGGAAGAGGAGTGTGGACGTCCACTGAGTTGATCCTGTTTTCCAGGAGAAGAATTTGATCCTATTTTCCCAGGAGAAGATTTCCAGAATATTCACTGCAGTGTTGCGACATGATCCAGGACAGAACTCTTATCATAAACCATTCAAGAGCGAAGGCTCTGTTCAACACAGCCAAGATCCGAACGGCCATCGCGTTCACCTACAAGAGAGGACCAGGTCCGCCTGCGAAAGATTCTGTCAGATGCGTCAAGAGCCGAAACTTTCCTAAGGACAGATTGTCATGGAAGAAATTGACGAAGCGTTCGGAGGACAACAAGCAGGCCCGCGCAACCGTCCAAGACGTCCATCCTTGAAGCATCATTGAAACAGGGAACCAAAGGCACAGTCGAGAACGATGCCTTCTTCGATGTCCTCAGGTGCTTGGTAACCCAGGCCCTGCAGATGAGAGAACGCTGAAATGAACTCCTAGATCCAGTTGCAGAAAGACCAACTGTCTATCCAGATTACACGGTGAGTTCCGGAGAGCGATGCGGATTTCTCAACAATGATGCACTCCTCTTGAGGAAGAACAGTTCGGACTGGCACCACCCATTGTTGGTGAGCATAGATTCCACGTCCGAGAACCCCAGTTCCGAAGAACAGGTCCAACGCAAGCGTCAACGGGCTGCTGAGAGAGGAGAACACACATCGCCATGACCGCAGAATGATCCGCCATCTGAATGGCGTATTGCAACAAGCTTCTGCGGTGCAAGATTTTCTTATGGACGAGACTCATTTCAATGAAACGTTGTTCTCGGATAAATTCTATATTCGCTCCAGATACTCCGGAATCTCTCGCCCAGACCCTAATATTAGTCAATGTCTTTGAAGTTTCAGTTCGTGGACATATCTTGGCAGCGAACCAACCAAGGTGTGACTGTAAACTATGGCGCGCGCAACCGTAACCCTTGGAAGCAACATATTACTTACATCGGCTTACGGCGTCGTTTTCAATCGCGCAAACTCGCTCCAATGGCAAAATTCCTGTAACGCCCTAAGTGGGAAGAAAAGTGTGTCTGTTTTGTTTCTTGTTTGTTCTGTGTTGATTCCACCGATCATCCAGTGCCGTTTGGCTCACGGCTAGGTGATATTAGAAGCTAGAGGGAAAAGGCTTTCGCTTCCTTGCTGTATTGTGGTACTTGCATTCGTTTCTTTCCATTAATGGGAAACCAAGCTTTCATACATGTTTGGTCTTCCGCCTCTACATTGACACTTGGCGCCTCATCGGAATAGCTCCATATTCAGGACCTACGAGGTTCATATTCGGGGCTCACTGGGACACCCTATTTCATGGGGTGGGCCAAACAAACAATAACGACAACCTTACACAGCTTCCTTGAAGCTGCATGTGACTCAGCCGCTTAGGCCTGATTTTTAAACGGTTGACTATATGTTTACATTGAGCTATGCGTTTTAAAAGCTCGTGCGCTTGGCTAGTCTTTGCTGCTTGGGCACTCGCGCGAACAGCGCCATGGTGACAAGCAAGCCTCGTGATCACGCAGGCTTTGAAGTGATTAAAAGCAGTGATCGCTAAAACAAGGACTGCAGCTAGCAACAACGTTGATTGCTGCCGTGATTCATATTTAATGAAGGAGCACATGTGGAATCAAGGGGCTGGGGCTACAGTTCCAAAAGCCAGGTTCTACGCATGTTGGTCGCGCGCCCATTTGGGTGAAGTATATTCCTGGCTTGCTTTGTGCATCACACCCTGCATGGTAATGTTATAAGGTAGAGTAGGATAGAGCTTGTGGCTTTGGCACACATTTACATATTTGCCGAAGGTTCGGCCAACGAGCAGCAGTGTCGACCAGAAGACATCTTCTTGTCAGCAACTGGTTTGGTTACCCATGCAGGACCCAAGTAGGATAAGTTATTCTTTTACCCCCTACCTTACTAGCAGAACGCACAGGACCTAGAGAACCACCCCTGATGATGTAGAAGTTAATGTTGGCCCCTTGCAGGTGTTCTACCTCTCCATTCACATTGCCTGGTCTACTTGCAATATGAATTGCGGTCTGCAAGTAATCCCTTTGGAAGAGTTCTTGGAGTCAGGCTGTAGAATTAGCTACATCGATGTCAAAAGGCGATGTTGTCGCGCGCTGCTCGGGGCGCGCGAGATCGTGGACGCAGCTATGGAGATGCCGTTGCCGAAATCGTGGCAGGCGCAGTATTTTGTGCAGCTGAACGTGTGTTTCTGGGGGCAGCGTTTGGCAGCAGTCTCAAGGGACAGGATGTTGTGTCACGCGCGGCTCGGGGCGCGCGAAATCGTGGCACGCGCAGCACCTTGGAGATGCCGCGGGAGAAAACGTGGCAGGCGCAAATTCTGTGCGTCTAGGCGTGTGTTTGTGTGGTAGGGGCAACATTTCGCCCGTCCGCCGTCCGCCCGCCCCGCCACCCACCGTCCGCCGTCCGCCCGCTCCACCGCCCACTCACTTGCACTCATTCACTCACTAACTCATTCACTCCTTCACTCACCCACTCACTCACTCACTCACTCACTCACTCACTCACTCACTCACTCACTCACTCACTCACTCACTCACTCACTCACTCACTCACTCACTCACACGCTCGCTCGCTCGCTCGCTCGCTCTCACACACACACACTCTCCCTCCCTCCCTCCCTCCCTCCCTCACTCACTCACTCACTCACTCACTCACTCACTCACTCACTCACTCACTCACTCACTCACTCACTCACTCACTCACTCACTCACTCACTCACTCACTCACTCACTCACTCACTCACTCACTCACTCACTCACTCACTCGCTGGTTCGCTGCGCGCATGCCGGGCCATGTTGGAACCCATCGACAGTGGCCATCGTGCTGAGCTAGTCGTGAAGTGTAGCACATTGTTTGCACCCACTTGCGTTTGCGGGCTAGGAACGACACGATATTTTGTTGAGCCGTGTCAATGAGTTTTGGATCTTCAAACTGTCCCTTGAGGCGTGACACGCACGCATCGCATGTAGCTTCAGCATGTTTAAGATCTGGAACTGCTTTGAATTCGGTTTCTCTAGCATTCCTGAGCGGCCTCTTGGCATGGAGCACGCGCAGGTCTCTGCTCGCTTGGCAGCGCGCCGAGCCCTGGCGGAGGCTTCAGTACCTCGGGAGCCTGCGGCCACGGCCACTCGCCTGTCTGTTGTGGAACGCCTTGGTTGGGGAAAACACAATTCTACGTCCTCGGAAGAAACAGTCAGTCGGCTGTTTGGGCAAGGCTTTGGGCGGGTTTATCAGGACAGACTAAGAGCATTTTACTCACGACGCAAATTTCATTCGTGGAGATCCTGGATGTATATTCGGCGCAGGGAGGCGTGTGGAGTGTGGAGTGTATTGTGTGTGGCGTGCTGTGTGGTACGTATTGCGTGTTGCGTGTTGTGTGTTGCATTGTGTGTTGTGTTGTGTGTTGTGTGTGGAGACCCAAACCCATACGATGGATCTTGCCTTGCGCGCAGGGTAGGCTTGGCACGCAAGCATATCAAGGAGCATGCTCTGTCGTGTTTGCCAAAACTGCTGCGGTTCTGTTTGCGGTTTCTTTTCGCACCCTGTCCATTCAAGGGAGGCGCCCGGTGAATCCGACAGTTCTTTTCTTTGCGATTTGGGCGGCGCCATGGAATTCCCACAAGCTGTCTGGGAGTGGATGCGCACTGTGAGCGTGGAGAACTCGGCAGGCCTGGCCCCGTGAGGATGTGGCCACCGATGCGGGGCGGTGGGGCGGTGGCTTGGGCAAGTCGGGGTTGGTTGCGGAGATCTGGGAAAGTGTTGGTGTTGCCGCCCACCCTCTGCAAAGCAGCCTCGGCAAGCAATGCGCGCTGCTGCAGCTCAGCCTTTGCCCGAGATCAACGCCAAGCTTGCCCCGACGCTGCCTAACATTTTGCCTCGCGTGAGTCGTGTCTCCAGCCCAGGCACCCAGAAGGCAGAGGCCGTAAGCTGCCAGCGTTTCGGCCGGGTTGGGGTAAGAGGCGCAAGCTGCGCGCTTCAGGCTGTGAACCCTGCGCTTTCAGCGCTGGACGCGGGGTTGTTCATCTCGCCTGTGCTGGTTTGCAGGCGAAGCGACGCGCTGTGGCTCATCCTTGCATCAGCAGTTCTAAAAGCCGAGGCCCTGGGTGGCTTGGGCTTTGGGGGACACGGCGACGCCCAGAGGCTGTGACCGCTGCGGCCTTCCACAAGCGCAATGGCGTGGAGATGCAGCAAGCGGAGGTGGCGCCCGTGAAGATTTGCAGCAAATCCTGGTGTCACAGCCTTCGAAACCTTGCGCTCTTGGTAATTGACCCCAGCACGTTTGAAGCACATCACCGCTTCAGCGCGCGGGCTCAGGAACCGCACAGCCAGTGTTCTGAGTTGACCCGGCAGGCTCAACCTTGCGGGGTTTGCGGCAAGGTTGCCCTGCGCCCACATGCTGGCGCGGCGAATCCCGCCAGCAGGGAAGATCCTTGTGAATTCAGGAGAAGTCTGAAGGTGGCTAACGGAGAATAAGAGAATGACCCAAAGAAAGCCTGCGCAAGACTCGCACCAAACCCACAGACACAAAAACCGCACAACGCGAGTGTAGAAACAGGAAGGTCAATGGTCTGCAAAACACGGAACAAAACAGACGCAAATTTCGTTTGAGCATTGGCATCGAAGCAAACACCCCGCCCCCCTCAGCAGCCCACCCCCCCTCCCCCCAGCCCCCTCCAGCCGTCCCCCCCCCTATGATGTTCAAGAGAGATTTTTCGGCGGCCCTCAGGGTGCATAATCATGATTTCAATTCAGATTGTTCGAACCTCACGGTTTTGGTTTCTGAGGAAGTCACGGTTCAAAGGGGGGTGCAATCCAATTTGTGTAGAGGATCTACAAAGTAGCGGCAAAGTAGCGGGGTGGTTGGGGAAGAAGATTCTTCGGCAGCCTTCCGGGTGTATACAGAAATCATGATGTTCAAAGATTATTTGGCACAGGGAAATCAAAAAGAAGGGGGGTTGGGGGGGAGAAGGGGGGGGCGGGTTGGGGGGCCATGATGTTCAAAGAAGATTACTCGGCAGCCCTCCGGGTGTATACAGAAATCATGATCTTCAAACAAGATTATTCGGCGCAGGGTGCTTGTAGAAATGTTAAAAAACGGGGCGGTTGGGGGCCCTTGCTCGAAACCAACATCCATGGACGCATACTTCGCCCGGTCGGAACCAAAAAGCCCACTTGCAATGCACATCGACCTGCAGCGTGAAACGGCCTGCTGGTTCTCCTATTCTTGGTTTACACTTAGTCCGGTGATTACCTTACGAAGGACATGATGTCAACCCCTCAAAAAGAAGGTATAGTCGGGCTGGAATCACAGGGCAAGGGGGTGCGGTGGGAAGGGGTGGTGGTGGTGGTGGTGGGTGGCAGGGAAAGGGTAAGAGAGTGCGGGTTGAGGGTGAAAGGGTGGGATGGGGGCTGGGGGGGCGGTGGTCGTGGCGCGACACCTCGATGGTGAGCATGCCCGAAAAACAAGAACTCTCAGAAACTTGATAGTCGCTGATGACCGATATTCAAGGGTAGGAGAGAGCAGGCTTTCGGCACTGTCAAGTTGGGATGGCTTGAAACGGCTTGAACGCACGTGTGAAAGGCTCCGATTGAGCACGCCGAAAGGGGGCCTGGTTGCTGGCAGGACGTGATAAAAGTTGATGACGATCTGACCGTAATTCTGCGGTGCTTGTGTCGTCTTCAAATGCCCTCTTGCGTTCCTCAGAAGTGTCCTCTTCTCGCGTCCGGTATTCTTGCTGCTCGTTGGTCTTGCCCAAGCTGAAAACGTAGATCACCATGCAATCAGGCAATGTCCTGTCACAACTTGATTTTTTGGTATGGAGGACATGGCGATTTTTCCACCAAAGCCCTTCCAGCTTCTGCGAGAAGTCCATGATTCGGGCGATAGACCTGCAGATACTGGCTTGAGCCAGTCGCACTGATATCCGAGCAGTTTTGGTAGGACATGTTGCCTCCTCTTCCTGCAAAGCTGGGATGGAAGTGGAACACCCCAAGCTGTTCTAACAGTCCTGCTCGTTGGACGCGTCTCTCATCAAACTCTGCCATGCTTGGATACTCCGTGGACTTGGGAATCTCGCCCTTGAAGTCGTTCTTCTGTTTGATGGGTTGTGGCAATGACCCCATTGTTCGGTCCATTTCTTGTGGCGGTAGCTCTTGGACTGAGCCCAGGATCTTGGTACACGCTCTGATGTGCTGGCTGTTGGGCCAACTTGTAATTTGCTTAGCTCCAAGTTAACCTGCTTCCGCGTCGCGCTACACTAAGTTTCTGGAAGGGCACTCGCCTTGCAGGGCTAGCTCTGCCAGTCGGTGAGAGGCTGCAGTTGCCACACGGTGTCGGACGTGCAGCGAGCCAGGGCGGAGGAAAGCTGCAAGAAGCGGAAGGCGTTTTCGTGGCGGCCAACTTGGCAGTCTTTTCGTTGTCGGGCCACGATTTTCCTTCTCAGACACCATAAGAAGATCACCAACATGAAGAGAGAGAGAGAGAGAGAGAGAGAGAGAGAGAGAGAGAGAGAGAACTGCATGAACTTGTCGATTCTGGGCTTTTAGAAACAGGATCCATGAGACTATCAGCAGCTCCTTCAAGATCAAATCTAACTCATGATTTCTTTTCACTAATTGGGGAAGAGTCTTACCATAGCGCGCACACACACATGTACACCTGTCTGCTCTTGCTGGCGCAAGATCTGAGCGCCGCGTCTAAGATATTCCATGCCCGGCAGCTACGGTGGCAGGACCGCACTGTAGTGACACACCTCGTGGTGGATTGGCTGGTGGCATGGGATGATCTGGCTAGTCCGGCGGATCCAGCTGGTCTTGGGTCAGGTATGGGGTGCGCGGTTAATGTGATGGTGGCGTCATCCGTGCTGATGGCAGTGGCTTGATTGTTGGCGCCTCTGTCCATGAATTGTGAACTGATGGGTGCATGGTCGCATGCCTTTGTCCTGGATCAATCGCACTTGTACGCGGGCGTGCCAAAAGATTATGTACACATCAACTCGTGGAAACGTGAGTGGCGTCTCGGCTCAGATGGTGTGTGCTGTGTGGATGGCTCAGAGGGTTCTCAACTTCTAACACCCATGATCGACCGCACATCATGTGGTGCTTCATAGTTTTCTGAAGGTTCTGGACCAATGTGTCAAACGGCAGGTCTTTCGCCTTCACAACGACACTGCTGCTGGTCATGTTGTACTCCTGATCCATGGCATCCATCCCCAAACGGCTCGAAGAGTCAAGCGGCTTCACCTTGCGACGACGCAACGTTATGTCAGCGAGATCCTGGTAGAACTGAGACATACCTTAGCTAGGTTCAGTAGACATGTAATGAGTGATTTCTTTTCACACAGCCAAGTGTGGCACGAGGCTCGTGTGTCATGAAAACGACGGTTGGGCAACGGGTGGGGAAGGGGCGGGGCGGGAGGACGACGTTTCGACTGGACAACTTCCGTCGTCCACCCGTCGTCCCATCGTCCACCCGTCGTCCTCCCATCATCTGCCCGGTGTCCTCCCATCATCTGCCCGGTGTCCTCCCATCGTCCTCCTGTCGTCTGCCCGTCGGCCACACCATCGTCACCGCCTACTCCTTCAGCTGCCCACCAACATGTCCATTGAAATCAGTGCTGCTGCTTCCGACTTCATTTCCTTCCTGAGGCGGATGTTAAGAGATGGTCAGCTGGGGAGAGTCTGTAAACGCCAAACATTTTGTTAGTTTTTCCTCATTTTTGGACGCTAGACAGCAATAAGCGCAGGTGATTTCCCCCGGGAAGCAAACCACCGATTCAAGCCACCAATCATAGCGCACCGCCGGTTTTGCTTGGGATGTCGCTTGACCTGTGCAAAGGTGGAACCTTGGTGGAACCCTGGTGGAACCCTCGGCGAACCTTAGCTCAGGGCCAGAAAGCAAAAATGTCAGCGCTTCGAGGATTTTTGTGTTTTTTTTGAATCGTGTTTTTTTCATCTTGCTGGTTTTCCTTTGTTTTGGGACCCTGGAAAGCACAAATGAAACAACTCAAGGAAATGTTCAACTCATATTCATAGGTGTTTCCTGTTATTTTCATTTTGGTGGTTTTCCTGCATTTTGGGACCTTGGAAAGCGAATGAGGAACTCGAGGAAATGTTCTGTTATTTTCATGTGTGTTTTCATTTTTATTTCATTTCGGTGGTTTTCCTCCATTTTGGGGCCCTGGCAAGCAAAATTAAAATCACTGGGAAATCTTAATTTTACTTTCCATCGCGTTTCCTTTTGGATTTTCATTTTTCTGGTTTCCTTTTTTTGTGGACCAGCAAGATGAAAACACACATGGAAATAACATGAAAATTTCCCGGGCTTCCCAAAATAGAGGAAAATCTCCAACATGAAGACCATATGAAGCACGAAAATGAAAGTAACATGCATTTCTTAAAGTGTTTGCATGTTTGCTTTCCAGGGTCATGAAGTAGAGGAAAACCCAGCAAAATCACAAATAAATGCAAACACAAATGAAATAAATGACAGTGTCCTCGACACATGACAATAAGATGAGAAGCCAAATGGAAAACATGAAAACAGAACTGAAAATACAGTGAAGATAATTCTTTTCCCCACCCCATACCCTATGGCCATAAACATCTATTGAGGCTGGTGCTCATGTTTCACTGACTTAGTTATTTTTCACATTTTCTGAAGAGTGGCGTCATGACCTCGGAAGGTAAGCAGGCTTGTGGGCTTCAGGCTTTCATTCCGTGCGCAAAACTAAAACAGGTACACCGATCGGTCTGAGAACAGCGGCTGCGTGCAGGGCAAGTACCAGGTCCTGGACGTCTGAAGGTTTTCAATGATGAAGGACCGCTTGCGCTTCAACTGATATCTCGCAATTGATGCCACAAACTCGAACTAAGAAAACAGGTGCTGACGTTTTCCCAAACAGTCTGTTGGTCTTGTCGGATGTTCTGCAGGTTAGGCCATAGCATGAGATTGGGCGCTTGATGTTTTCCATGACCGTGTGTCGTCTCTTGGAGGTCATGACATCAAATCCTGTTCTGGTGTCAATGTGAGTTCCAACTTCTTATCCTGCAAGAGCGCGCAGCATTGGCTGGGTTTTACACATCTACTTTGCCTTCTCTGACATAGCTCTCCACACACATGTTCTCTGCTGGTGGCTTCACTTCGGGCGTCTTTTTCCCGACCATTGCTGCTGTCTCCTTTTTGTCAGAATTGGCTGAGTCCTTGCTCTTGCGCAATGTAAGGCCTCATCCGGCAAAGAGAGTTCCACTCCTGGTTTCTGAGGTGGAAGGGTTTCATGCTTTCGAACCTTCGTCATGTTGACCTTGATGAGTCGAGTCCCGAGACCAAGGCCGACCATTGCTCCTTCTAAGAACATGACTTTTCCTTCCAACAGAACATCTTGGACTTGTGTTTTTGCGAGAAAAACACCTTGTCTCCTGCCTGAAAGGCTTAGAGCTTGTTCTGAGATTCTGCGGAAGATCTCTTCTGATGTTTTCCAGCCCACGGGCTTCTTGAAAAGACTGTTTTGACAGCAGCCGGTGTCGCAAGATCTAATTGAGCGAGATCTGCTGGCCTTCTTCCGAACGCAAGCTTCAATGGTGTTACACCCCGTAGGTGACGGTCTGACGTCTGACTGTTGCAGCAGCCTTGACAAGGTGCCGCCAAGTAACATTCTTGAGCGTAGCAGGCGCTGATAGGATTCAACATGATCTTGAGCTGCGCCTTCAAGGGTCCAGCTGCTGTTTCCGCTCGGTTCGGCCATGGTGTGTTTTCAATGAGATTGGTGTGATGTCGAGGGACTGGTCTGTTCCCATGTGTCCATCATGAAGGCCTGCTCTCCACGACTGTCTTGGGCTGCAAGTGGTGCTGGTCGAAGTAGTTCCTGAGGATGGTGATGTTCCCTAACTCTTGTGTTGTGTTCACCGCCTCCGCAGTGAGCAATGTTGTCGCTCCATCCCAAACGACAAACACAATGAGATGTTCTGCAGTCCCGAAGGGACCTGGCAGTGATCAGTGATAGCCATATCGCCAGTTGTCTTCGAGCGAGGTCCGCGTGTTCTACTTCTTGATGGTGCCTGTTTAGGTTCTTGGCAAACTTCACTCACCGCGAACCTTCTCGAAGAGGTCGCAGGTTGGTTTTCGAAGTGCTCGGGTTCGCGCGCGAAACTGGTCCGTATTCATGTGATGGCGCTGGGGGTGCGGCTTCTTCTTCATCAACTGATCTGGCTCAGCGCCCTTTGTTCGGTTCCCCCCACCCTGAGAAGCAAAGGTGAAGACGGTTGTGCCTGTCCACAGGTTTACCATTGCTCGAATTGCCTGTGCAGTCAGTTTCCAGTTGTCGTCAAGCACGTCTGGATCTCCACCTTTTGCTGCATCAATCAAACGCAGTGCTCTAGCTGGATGTGCCTCGCAGTCATTGCGCTGATCAGTCCTTTTCTCTGCTGGTCTGATAGTTCACTCCGAATGAGGAGGAACTGTGCGACGAGGTTATGCGTCTTGCGTCACGGTGTCTCTGCTGCGTTCCCGGGGCGCTGTCTCAAAGTCCGGGTCGTCCGGATTGCACGGGCGACTCCCCAGCCTGAGTCGCTTGCTGATTAGCATCTTGTGCTGGTTGGGTTATTGCGCCTTCTAGCCTGCGTAGCAAGATCTCAATAACTTGAACCGAAAATGAGAAACTCTGAGTTGTGTCTCCTGCTTGAAGAAACTGAAGACTTCAGCGTGTTCTTGAAGTAGTTGACTCCTTCAGCTGGATCTCGTAGCAAGCGTTGTCGAGAAGCTCTCTGGGCTGCTGGGCTCTCATCCGCGCTGCCGACAGGGCATGCGCTGGTGTAGGTTGCTCCGCTACCACACAGTCTCATTGGACGTGTTTCTTGCAAGAACCTGATGTTGATGGATGCAAAGTGCCTGGCATATGGAGCACAGAACACCCTTGAGGGGGAGGCTTCCACCATGTCGGCGAATTGTTTGTTCCCCAAAATTATTGCGAAGGGAGGGTGCAAAATAGCACCTGGTCTTTTCAAAAGCCTCCTGTCGTCTTCCTTCATTCTTGGGGGGAAGAGAGCATTTTGATGTGTTGATGTCTTGTGTTGGTTGGGTGTGTTTTTGTGTTACTCCATGATGCCCCAGGCCAACATGCACTACCGCTGCAAAACTCAAAGGGTTCGCAGGCTGCTAAGATTTGTTGTGGTTGAGTCGGTAGGGAAAATTGGTTCAATGTCAATGCTACTGCGCGAAGGTTATCAAATCTAGACGGTGGCCCTTTCCCTTGGCACGATGTGTTTCTGTCAAGATGTTCGGGCTCGACTCGTGAAATGGCAATGGGCGGCAGGGCTTGTTGCCATCAGACTAGCAGTGAGTTGGCATCACGAAGCAGGGCGCTTTCCAACATCGCGATGCAGACACGACGCACGACAGGCCCAGTTTCTTGAGGGGAGGTGTTTGCGTTACAGGGTATTCGAACAACACAAATGCTACTTTGTTGACGTTGCTGAGTCGGTTGTGCTTGATGTGCCACTAGCAGTGTCACACGCGCGCATATACTTGTGCTTCGAGGATTGGTTCCTTTGCGGGAATTGGACTTTGCACATCTTTGCACTCCTACTTCGGTTGAATCATGTTGCCGGACAGACACTTCAGGTTCTGTTTTCAACCTGTTTGAGGCTGGCGCGGTCATGGCACCATCTAATGGCGATTTCTCAGCCAACGTTTGAGGCCGTTCGCAACAAAGCAGAACGGCCGGCGTAAGCCCAAAAAAGAATCAAGAACGGCATCGGCTCCCCTAAAACGCAGGGGTGCTGTGAATCCTTGCCTTTGAGGTTAGCCTTTTGCGCTTCGCCGTCGGACTTCAGGCCATGCCCTCTTGGCTTTCAGCGTTCTTCGAAGCGAGCGAGGCAGCGGACGATTGGAATGTTGACGCAAAAGCAACGGACTGCCTTTTAAACAGTAGTAGCGGAGGGCTACGCCTCAAATAAACTCGTTCATAAGTCCATGCAACTTCTCGCCTCATTCCTTCCAGTCATTTTTGAATATTCATTTCCTCCACCTCACCTATTTACTCATTTTCTCGATTTGTTCAGTTCCTTCCTCCTCGGCTCATTAATTTCACCAACAAACTTTCAAAATGTCATTTCCTGAATTCCTCCTTCTCATTACGCGCGCAACACTAAATTTTGCAATACGTTGCAAACATCATTTTCCTCAAATATGTCTTCTATCAGTCTAAAGTGTAGAATAAAGGAATAAAGATCCCCGGGCCCTTTTCAGAACAGCTGAAGCCTGCCTTGTTTGTTTCTGGATTTTACCATCTAATGTTTGAGGTGAGCTCCTCCTTGTCGAGTTGGGGGGTCTGTGTGATATTTTAGAAGTATAGTATAGTTACAACATATCAGGACACATGTTATAATCGTAGTACGGCTGAGCGGGAAAACCACCCTACAAGCCCTCCAAAATGAGCATCTCTATCCTCCAAAATGAGCGCTCCCATCCTTCAAGCAGCATCAGCATATGCTTCGGAACTGAATAAGCATATGCTCCGCACATGCTCCAGACTGCATAGGCATATGCTCCAAACAGCGTAGGACATATTGCGCCTTTACCATGGCTTAATTTGAGCCGGCAAGAATGCAGGTGGTGATATGATGCTGCATAAGTATTGTGAAGACGAAGGTGGAAGTAAAAGTGTAATCACCGCGGATTTTTTAGTTAATTGAGAATACTTAAAAAGTGCAACGTCTGGGTTTTTCGGAGTTGGCATCCCCACCAAAACTGCTAGGCCTGCGTTGATGTAGATCCTAGCCGGCTTGCCACCTGCCTTGGACAAGCAGTCTTGCCAAGGAACCGTGAGTGCAGACCCAGCGCAGGCTGTGAGGACGGAATTTGAACCGTCCAGCTGTAAGTCACGGTAACGCGCAAACCGCCTCTCCTGCAACTTGACCAAGCCAAAGGACAGGGGAACGTGGAAGAATGATACACCCTGCAACAAGCGCTTCTGACTCCAGAACTGAGACCTTATGGGGCTTGGCCAGACGAAGGGGGCTGGGGCTTACCTGTAACGTCTTGTACACCTACTGAAATAGAGTGCTCCTGTTTCTTGATTATTTGAATGCAGTTTTCAGGCTGGGTGGGTCTTGCAGCGCAGGAAGAAAAGCAAGCGAGAAGGAACCGCCGACGCAACTTAAGGATGAATGAAGGTTTGCATACTTCTGGATTTTGGCTGGTGCCACACCCTCCCCCACAAAGCAACCCGGCCTCTTTTAACAAGCTGTGAAGATTAAGAGCTGAGGGGCATCTCCGGCTCCAGAACTGAGACCCCTTTACTTGGCCAGACAAAGGAGGCAATTCTGCTGCAAGCTTGGCCAGGAAGGCCGGGGTCTTGCGCACCTGCTGGGTAGGGTGTTTCCGTTTCTAATTTTGAACTCGTTTTTCAAATAAAATTGTCTTGCAGCGCAGGAAGAAAAGCAAGCAAGCCAGAATGAATCTTTGCTTAAACTGCCAACCCGTGGATATTGAAACAAACACTGTAAATACCAGTGTGTCGTCGTAGTAGGTTTTGTGCAGCGCAGATTTCGTTCAGGGACAGCGTGGCATTGGTCAAGGCAAACAAGATTCGAGCAGCTGTTTGCTTGTATTACGGGATCTGCGCAACAATCGAGATGAGAAATCGATGATGCGCAGGCAGAATAGAAGAGGCGTTGGTAGCTTTATTGTTGACACCTTTGCGCCGGTACTCGCGCAGAAATGTTTTACAGTCAGTTGAGCGAGGGAAACATGAGTGATGAATACTATGAAAAAGCAGAACTGGTATGTGCACATTTGAACAGCGCAGCGTGAGAGAGAATATCACGATTTGTGTGAAAGCAGATTTTTGTTGCGGGACATGTCAATAACGTCAGATGTGTATGTATGAAATATTCTAGTTTAGATCCTGTGTACACTGATGCTTTTCTTAACTTCGGTTTTACGCTGTACCCAACCTTGATTCTAATGCTATGCACTTGTGTGGAAGCAACTGCTGTTTATGGCCAGAAGATGCGTGAAATGATTGAACAAGAATCTCAAGCAGGAGGTGGCAAAGGCTTAATGAATCGCCCCCGCAAGTCTGCTGACGTTGCAAAATGAGCCCAAATCTGGCAAAACGGCCTGACTTCCCCTGCCTTGGGGGGTGCACTCATTTACGTAGCTTGGTCATATTCAAGTTTTTATGTACAAAGTTCAATTATGTTAAGTCCACCCTTTCAATTTTTAAGCTTTAATAGCTCTTTTAACGGCTTGCTGTGTTTCTTTTGCACCATTATCTGATGGAGTTATTCCCCTTTCAAAGCGGATAGCAATAGTATAAAGGTTGGTTTCAAGTTTTATATCACCAGCTTTAGCTTTATCAATTTCCATGTTCTTATCCTATACTTAGCTTGAAGTCGATACGCATTTACAATTCCCTTGTTTTTGTATTTCTATCTGGTGTTATTTCTACAATCTTTTGTACACATTGGACAAGCAAACTCTATGACTGCTGTTTGGTTAACAACTTGTTCAACATTCACACCTTTATGTTTGATATATTTTGCTCCTACCGCAATTAACTCCAAAAGCAAATAACAGGCCTTCTTACATTCACTGTCTGTTAGTGCAACACGCACACCTGTCCGTACTTCATGGGTTCTATATTTTTCGGAATTTCTTCTCTCCATGTGAAGTAGTAAGATAAATTATGAATAAATAATATTTTCTTTGCATGTTAGAATGCCCAGGGCTGCTTGCACTGCGCACATAAGCGGGGTTAAAACTCATCACCTTCCTTGCTTATGACTGATGCCATGGAAAGCCCGTTTTATTTCAAGACACATCCACTTTTTCGTATCTTGCCAAGATGTCCCACACACAAGTTTTATTTACAAGATAAAAATGAATCACGCTATATCGCAAACGCTTCATGAACTATTATGTTGTAAGTACTAAATTTAAAAAATCATGTCAGATATTTCCATAATAGAACCCGAAAACACAACTGATTTTGAGTTCAAACAGCCTAAATAGGAACAAGTGCCAACACTACCCTTTAGAAGTATTACAGTTGCTTCTTCGGCTGGCGGTAAGACTGAGCTTATGCAAACTTTAATATCGACTGTTTGTAGAAATTCGTTTGCAAGAATATTTACATTTTGACCGAATGCTGCTAGCAACCCTACATGTACGGAAGTTAAAAAGTATGTCCGCGACGAGTTGCGTGTGGATGCTCAAAAAGAAGAAATTTATTTTGACGACTATAACCCACCTGACTTAGAAAGAGCCAATTGAAAGACAGAGGAAAATTCTTAACTATGTGAAACCCGCAACGAAGAAACTGTTCTTATTATTAACCGTGATAGACGACCGCGCCAATGAGCCAAAGAGATGTTAGAGATAGCAACAAAGCAGGAGCTTCTTACTAGAAGTAGGCATGATGCCGTAAGTGTAATTTGTTCAACGCAAAAAACACAATGTTTTAGCGCATGAAGTTCGTTTAAATGCCAGAGGCTGGCAAATGCCAGTGAGTCAAGTGTTTTTGAAGGATGTGGCTCATAGTCTCCTAGTATGTAAAAATAATGCTACAGACATCAACAAGATGTTTCGTTTTAGGTTGGAACAGGCAATAAGGATATTCGACGCTGTTCATTGCAGTTCTTGGGTGCACAAACTTGGTAAGTAGGAAAAAGACCAGCTGGTATGGAGTTATCAATAAGTCAAAACCAGTTCTGCAATGAAGGAACCATTGAAGACTTTGAAACAAGTAGCACTGCTTCAACAACTATCGCTAAAATGTTAACTTTCGCGAGCTCAGGTCTGGAGAGGTTTTTTTTCATGTGTTTTTATATTTTAGCCTTAAAAAAAAAGGTGCCAAAAACCACATACATTGGGGGAGAAAATTATAGTTTAAAAAAACAAGGACATCGCTGGTAGACTCACATGAAAATTTCAAAAAACCATTGAAAATGGCCAGTGGGTACTGAAATCGAAGCCGTCAAACCTTGGATTTGACAAAAAAAACCAAACATGCAACATCCGCCAAAATATATTTCCGTTTTTTGGGTGGCTAAACCGGTTGAACGGTAAACTAAGGGTTTGAAGTCTGCATTTCACAAGGTTGACTGGACGGGGCTGTGGCCTCACACCTCAAAAGTGAATATATGCACGAACGCAAGCGGCTCAGACCCTTCTTTTCACATGAGCTCCTGTCCGCTGGGCACTGATGGGGGGGCAAGGCTGCACCGCCCTGTGGCGGCTGCATGTAGCACTGCACTTCGGCGGAATGAGGGGCCCTATGTGCCCCCCACGCTGACACATACCCGACAGCAAAGGTCTGGCAAGGGCAAGGCCCGCAGCTCACAGCATCAAGTCTTCTTGTCTGCTGCTGCCGCTTCTGAATCCAGGAGCTCGCCACTCGCAACCGCGTCTTCAACAGCCGGGCCTTGATCGCCGTCAACCTTGTGATTCTTTGCCTTTCGTCCTGGGCGAGCGCTGGCCCATGCCCTAAAACGATGGAGCCACAGCACGGAACAATGCAACGAGGCTCGCATGACATGATGATGATCAACATGATGATGATGGTGATGATGATCAATGATGATGATGATGATGATGATGACACATTCGAGCCGAGCCACGATTGCGTGGCCGGGTTGTATGTCTCATCTCTGCCAGGCTCAACCTGCGCCATGGTGCAAAAAATACACGCTTCTTATCGGGGCGACTCCTGCCCAAAGGTTTGAAGGCTTGGCCAACTCGCGAAAAAAACAAGGTGGCGTGGTTCCAGGTGTGTGTTTTTTCGCAAATGCCGATTTACTGATTTCACCCTCCTCGCCTTTCATGCGAAGCTGAGTCATCCCCCACGCGAGCGCCCAGAGCCAGATCATCC